TGGAGCACTCAGACTGTGCTTTCATGGTGGACAACGAGGCCATCTATGACATCTGCCGCAGGAACCTGGACATCGAGCGCCCAACCTACACCAACTTGAACAGACTCATCAGCCAGGTTGTCTCATCTATCACAGCATCACTGAGGTTTGATGGAGCCCTGAATGTTGATCTGACCGAGTTCCAGACCAACCTGGTGCCCTACCCTCGCATCCACTTCCCCCTGGCCACCTATGCCCCTGTGGTTTCAGCTGAGAGAGCTTATCATGAGCAGCTGTCAGTGGCTGAGATCACCAACTCCTGCTTTGAGCCAGCCAACCAGATGGTGAAGTGTGACCCTCGCCATGGCAAGTACATGGCCTGCTGCCTGCTGTACCGCGGGGACGTGGTGCCCAAGGACGTCAATGCCGCCATTGCCACCATCAAGACCAAGCGCAGCATCCAGTTTGTGGACTGGTGCCCCACGGGCTTCAAGGTGGGCATCAACTACCAGCCGCCCACAGTGGTGCCAGGGGGTGACCTGGCCAAGGTGCAGCGCGCCGTCTGCATGCTGAGCAACACCACGGCCATCGCTGAGGCCTGGGCTCGCCTGGACCACAAGTTCGACCTGATGTACGCCAAGCGCGCCTTTGTGCACTGGTACGTGGGCGAGGGCATGGAGGAAGGGGAGTTCTCTGAGGCACGGGAAGACATGGCTGCTCTGGAGAAGGATTACGAGGAGGTGGGCCTGGACTCCTACGAGGATGAAGAGGAGGGTGAGGAGTAGAGAAGCCTCAGCCCAAAAGGACCATGCTCCTTCCCAATGTTACCTGCAGAAACCCTTTGCAATAAACCGTTTCAGAGCCTCTGTGTCTCCCACTATCCCCCCAGCTGTATCGGTTTCTTGCCAGGTCAGGTGTGTGTGGAGTGCTTCAGCCCTGGTACTGGTGCTGCTATGCTTCCTCCCAGTGCTCTGCTCCAGCTCTGCCTCCCCACATAAGGAAGTGCCCCATACCAGAGGGATATAGCCAGGACACGTGGCAGGCTCTGGGCCAGTGCCCAAGCATGTCCATCAAAGGGATCCAGAAGAGTGCTGTTGATGTGATAGGAGAAGCACCTAGCTCAGCCATGGGGTCTTCTGCCTGGGATTACCTCTATCTGCCCTGCTCTGCCTGTGCTCTGCCATCCTCCTGGGGCCCCACTCTACCTGCCCCAGATCATCTTCTGCATTGTCCCCATTCTGACTCTCACTGCCCTGCCTGTTGGTGAGTAGTCCCAGCATCAGCTCCTGGCTCCAGCTGCAAACTGGAGATTTCTGTTACCCATTATCCAGCATGCTGGTTCCAGAGATTAATTTTCCCTGCTTACCACTAATGCTACAGCTATATTGACCCACGGGGGCTGTCCTCCCCTGCCCTTCTCCTCCCGACATGCACCCGTGTCAGCTGGAGGGGGAGTGGGAGCCACCCCCAGCTGCTGGAGCGCAGCCAGGCACTCATCCCACTGTGCAGGGCTGCTGGCATTGCTCTGCACGTCTGTGACCAGAGCACTGGACTCAGACTGAGTGGTGCCTGCTGCTGTGCCAGGGCAGGAGTTGCTGCCCCTCACACCAGGTGCTGCTCTGATCTACTCTTTACTGAGGTCTGAATGTGGGGAAAGGAAGGAACCTGCTCCTCCAGGAGTAATTCCACCACAGATACCTCCCTGGGTATTCACAGAGATCTGATTCTGCGACCAAAAGGATGAAGGAATTGGAATTGTGTCCTACTACTATTTTCTAAAAGTTATCCCGCACCTCTGATCTGGACCCTGAGGGACACAGCAGTGTCCCTGCTGTGCTACTTCTGGCATGCTGCTGAGCAGCAGAGCCCCAGCAATCCTCATGTCCAAGGAGGGATAGCTGTGTGAGCCCAGGCCCTGGCAGACAGCATGCAAGGCTGGTGGTCCAGGCATCCTCAGCAGCAGGATCATCCCTGGCCCTGGAAGGGGTGGTTGTGCTGGCCAGGGCTCAAACAGAGCTGCTGCTCTGAATGTAGTCACAAGTTATTAACAGCAAGCGGTCTGCAATGACCCTTTTTTGGCAGCCCAGATTTGTCATGCAGATCTGCAGCCTCACAGGGTTGTGCAGAACTGACTGTTTGTCCCTACCGGGAGAGAAAGGCAAACCTTGGCTGGAGGCTTCCAGAGTATTGATGGCAAAGGGAGGTTTGGGGGTACCCTGGGCTCCAGAGTCTGATGTGTGTCTGTATCATGTTTCTCCTTATTTCTCCTGTTCTAGAGGCCCAAGCAGTCTCGGGGTGTCCCCATGTCTCAGGGGGAAGCTAGTGACAGAGCAGGTTAGGGGCTGCTCTACCTGCTCGGGTTCCAGTGCTGGTGGGTGAGCACCGCCAGTCACCCCTGGGGGTTGGTGCCCAAGTCTTCTGCCCGCAGCCTGGCCGGGTGTCCCCGCTTCCCTCCCGGCAGAGAAGGGGGAGCAGCCCCGGCCCCGCACCTTGGAGTTCCTCCGCAACTGGAAAGACCCCGCCAGGTTCCCACGGACCCCGAAGTGGGTACTCCCCCCTCACATGCAAGCGTACCCAAAATAAGGGGGCGTGGCGGCAGCAAGCCCCTCCCCCCTATAAGAGAGCGCTGCGGCGGGGATTGCAGCAGCCGCAGCTCAGCGCCGAGCCCTGCAGCACCGAGCAATCGGGACAGCCCGCACCCCCCGCCGCAACATGGTGAGTGTGGGCCGGCGGCGGGCACGGCGGTGGGCACGGCGGTGGGGAGGGTGCCCGGCAGCCCCCCGGCGATGCCCCTGCAGCGCCCCCGCGGCACCGTGCCCGGCGGAGCGGCCGCGACGCGCCCCCTCCTTCCCCGCCGTGACCTTGGCAGCTCTGCCGGCCCCTGCCCGGGGGCAGCCGAGCCCCCTCGCCCGCTCCCCCCGCCGCCGATGCCGGGGTGCCTGCCCTCCCCCCCGCTGCCGCAGCGGGGAGGGCCCTGGGGATGGAGGGGGGTGACCTCTCCGGTGGGGAGCGGTGGCGGGGGACGGACGGGGACAGCTGCTGGGGGTGGAGGCGCCAGCCAGGCTCCGGGGGCCGGAGCTGGGCGCTCGGCAGGGCTCCCCCCACGGCAGCGGACGCCCCGTCGGGGCTGGTGGCGGGGCGCGGTTGTGGGGGTCTCGTCCCTCCAGTCCCGTCCCGCGGGGGTATGGCAGCGGCAGAGAGGGCCGGGGCCGCTCTCCGAAGCGGGCAGTCGCCGCTGCCCTCGCCCGAGGCCGGGGCTGTCTATATTTAGCGGCTCAGGAGTGGGCCAGGGCCGTGCCAGGAGGTGCAGCGTCCTGCCCTCCCCGCCGCAGTGCTGACCGGGCTCTGCCGGGGGCTCTGCTGGGGACCCTGCCCAGGACTGCCCTCCCTTCCTCCCGGCGGCTGGGGCTGCCTCTGGCCCTCCCGCAGGAGGCAGGAGCCCTTGTCCTGCTCTGGCGCTGAACCGAGGCACGGACCCCATCATAGCTCAGGGCACTGTGCAGTTGGGGAATGCAGGAGGAAAATCCTCCAGGATGCCCAGGCTGAGTCGAGGTGTCCCGCCAGGGGAAGCGGGGATGCTGGGAGTCATGAAACAGGGATGCTAGTACTAGCAGAGGTGGGTTGCCAGGGATAGGGGACCAAGGGTGCCAGGGGCAGCAGAGGAGGGATGCCGGGGTAGCAGAGCAGGCCTAAACTTAATGTATGGGAGTGCACAAGGTACACCTCCAGCTCACAGCCTGCTCCCCAGCACTTCTACCAACACAGGTTTTGCAGCACAGCATTGGGACTGTGTAGCCTAGGGAGTCTGTATGCTGTCTCAGAAACTGCTGGACTTTGCTGCCAGCCCTCACCTGGCTGCCACCCACCACCCTTGCATCTCCAAGGCCACTCACCCCAGGAAACTGAGGGCTTATCTGGCTCTGGAGCAGCAGGCAGGGCAGTTGCCCTGCCTGCAGTCCCCCATGGCAGTCCCCCATGCTAGTTGCCCCTCATGGGTTAAATGTGTGCCCCTGTCAACTCAGCCCCTTATTGGACTGCTGTGGCAAGGGGAAGGGGCTGGGTCTGCCAGGGACCCTGGCAAAGTGGCTGGGGCAGGGAAGTTGGACCAGGCTCTGCTCCCCATGCTGCTGGAGGACAAGCCTGGCCAGAGTCTGTTGTGCTAGTGGCCGCCAGCAAGGGCAGGGCAAGAGGGATGCCAGAGCTGGCTCTCGACCCAGCAAGTGTCTGTGCATGGCTGAGGGCTCCTCAGGGGCACACAGGAGGTCACCCAAAGGAAAACATGCTCTTGAGGGTCGCTAACCAGAGCAAGTCATGTGTGGGTGACTCTGTGGCACTGGCACCAGGCAGAGCGCTCCCTGGGGCAGGCAGAACAGAGCTGTGCCAGGATCTGACCCTGCCTCCCCCTCCCCAGCGCGAGTGCATCTCCGTCCACGTCGGCCAGGCTGGCGTCCAGATGGGCAACACCTGCTGGGAGCTGTACTGCCTGGAGCACGGCATCCAGCCCGATGGGCAGATGCCCAGTGACAAAACCATTGGCGGAGGGGATGACTCCTTCACCACCTTCTTCTGTGAGACCGGAGCTGGGAAGCACGTCCCGCGGGCCATCTTTGTGGACCTGGAGCCCACTGTGATTGGTGAGTAGTGGAGATCACATGGCCTGGGGTGCCCCCATGGGTGGGTAGCAGGCAGCAGGTGTGTGGTGCTTGTGCTCTGCTGACAATATCTTGCACTGGGTTCAACCCGAGGGCCCTTCTTTTTCCCCAGGAGAAGCCACAAACCTGAGCACCTGCTTTTGTTCTTGAAGTGTCCTAGAGGCAGCGGTGCTTGTACCACATGTGCGCAGAGAGAAACCAGCCCAACCGGCAAGGCAGCTCCTGCTGTGCTTGGGGGCAGGGAGCTCCGGATGGGTGGGAGAAGCTGAGCTGCACAGGGAGGTGGCAGCCACCTCCTGCTGCCAGAGAAACCTGATGCTGGTGTTGGCCTTGCTGACGTGTGGGTCCTTGGCCATGGCAGTGGCAGGCGGAGCCAAGGTGAGGGATGGCTGCTGGCACCCACTCTGCTTGGCGGCCGGCTCAAACTAACTGCCTCCACCGGGCTCAACCTGCCCCTCTTCTCTCCTAGATGAGGTTCGGGGAGGAGTGTACCGCCAGCTCTTCCACCCTGAGCAGCTGATCACTGGCAAGGAGGATGCTGCCAACAACTATGCCCGTGGGCACTACACTATTGGCAAAGAGATCATTGACCAAGTGCTGGACAGGATCCGGAAGCTGGTAAGTGACTGCAGAGAGGGGACTTGTCCCCCTGACTGGTGGGATCCAACATCCTGCTGGGGCTCAGAGCACACTGCAAGCCCTGCTGCACCCTGGGAGGAATCTGCAGCTGCCCAATGCAGGGATGGACCAGGTCCTGAAGGGACTTCTGGATAGTCAGGCCTTCACAAAGAAATGCGTCTCAGGAAATCTTGTGCATCTCTCTCTGCAGGCTGACCAGTGCACAGGACTCCAGGGATTCCTTGTGTTTCACAGTTTTGGAGGTGGCAC